CACCCACCCAGGCCCTCTGAGAGCCCTTCTCTAGATGACATGGGGCCAAAAAGGCTGAGCCTCTGGGATGGAGATGTCACCTTCCTGCGCTCATGACCCAGAAGAGGGCAGAGGGGCAGCACGCCAGAGGTATCAGCAGGTGCTAAGCCACAGTGAAGGCCTCGGCTGGGTGAGGCAGGGTCTGTAATTGTCGGTAACAAGCCCTTCCCTGTCATAATCCCCTCTGTTCTCCTGGGCATCCCGCTCCTCCTGCTGGCTCGCTCGCTTGCTCTCTCTTTCTTTCTCTCTTTCTCTCTCTCTCTCTCTCTTTCTCTCTTTCTCTCTCTCTCTCTTACTCTCTTTCTCTCTTTCTTTCATTCTTTCTCTCTCTCTCTCTCAATCTCCAATCCCTTTCTCCTCTCTGAACCCACTCCCCCTCACTCTGCCCCCCCAAACGCCTTCCTTCCCCTCATCCGATTCTTCTCCATTCTTCAAAAGCTGTTCTTGGATGGGTGTGGTGGCTCATGCCTCTAATTCCAGCACTTTTGGAAGCCAAAGCAACATAGTGAGACCCCATCTCTAAAAGAAATAATAATAATTGCTGGGTGTGGTTGTACATGCCTATAGTCCTCGCTATTCGGGAGGCTGAGGAGGGAGGATCACTAGAGCCCAGGAGGTCAAGGCTGCAGTGAGCTGTGATTGTGCCACTGCACTATAGCCTGGGCAACAGATTGAGCCCCTCTCTCAAAAAATTTTAAAACAAATGGGGGCCGGGCGCGGTGGCTCAAGCCTGTAATCCCAGCACTTTGGGAGGCCGAGACGGGTGGATCACGAGGTCAGGAGATCGAGATCATCCTGGCGAACACGGTGAAACCCCGTCTCTACTAAAAAGTACAAAAAAACTAGCCGGGCGAGGTGGCGGGCGCCTGTAGTCCCAGCTACTCGGGAGGCTGAGGCAGGAGAATGGCGTGAACCCGGGAGGCGGGGCTTGCAGTGAGCCGAGATCTGGTCACTGCACTCCAGCCTGGGCGACAGAGCGAGACTCTGTCTCAAAAAAAAAAAAAAAAAAAACAAATGGGTTTTGACCAGATGACCTCCCACACATGAAGGCCCTGTCAGTCCGAAGATTTAAACATCTCTCTGCCCTATAAATCTGTATGTCAGGAAGTCTGCGGTTCCATCATTAGAGGTTGAAGTCACCTCCAGTGTTTCAAGCTTTGATTTATTGGAGCTGAGATTTCAAATTCACCTGTCCCAAGTCACCTACAGTCTTGGGTCTTAATTAAAGGTGGGGGAGGAAATAGGGCTTAGACAGGCCCAGTGGCCACCTACAGCTCCCAGGACTCTTTGGTTGAACCAAGATTAGAGTCCTTTCTGGCTGAGAATTTGAGGTGAGCTGCAGGGACACTGAAGATGTCTTCCATACACCTCCCAGGGTTGTTCACCAGAGCCCACGAGGCCCCCGAGGACCACAGGCATGGGACGAGGGAAGCAACAGAGGTGAGGTGATTGAGGCTTATTCATGGAATTGTGGGGAAAATAGGAGAGTTTGCAGCTGGCGTTGTAAAAACAGGAGGCATGGCTGGGTGCAGTGGCTCACGCCTGTAATCCTAACACTTTGTGAGGCTGAGGTGGGAGGATCACCTGAGGTCAGGAGTTTGAGAGCAGCTTGGCCAACATCGCAAAAGCCCATCTCTACTAAAACTACAAAAATTAGCTGGGCGTGGTGGCGCACACCTGTAGTCCCAGCTACTTGGGAGGCTGAGGTAGGAGAATCATTTGAACCCAGGAGGCAGAGGTTGAGTGAGCTGAGATTGCGCCACTGCACTCCAGCCTGGGTGACAGAGCAAGATTCTGTCTCAAAAGAAAACAAACAAACAAACAAATAAACAAAAAAGAGAGAGAGAAGAGGCAAGCCTGGCTGGGGGACTGGGTCAGTGTGGAAATGAGTCCAGGCTGAGTGGGAGGGGCTGCAAGAAATGGAGGCGAAGTTCCTTCTCAGTTCAACACCTTGGCTCAGTGAAGGAGTTGGGCAGGGGGGTGATGAGAGATGGGGGAGGGTTCCATGAGGGGAGAGGGGATCAGGAGCGGGGACTCACTGAGGGGCAGGAGGCTGAGTGAGAAGAAAGGAGCTGGGAGAAGTGATGTTCAGAGGAGAGCAGCTTTCTTTTTATAATTTTTTGTAGAGATGGGGTCTTGCTATGTTGCCCAGGCTGGTCTTGAACTCCTGGCCTCAAGGGATCCTCCTGCCTTGGCCTCCCAAAGTGTTAGGACTACAGGTGTGAGCCACTGCACCTGGTGTTAAACCCCATCATTTTAGTGTTGGGGACACTGAAGCCAAGAGATGGGAAGGGACACATTCAAGGTCATACAGGGAGCCAGGATCAGAGATAGGGCCAGAAAGAAGGTCCTTGGACTCCTGTTTGAGAGTCCTTCAGTTGCCTTCACCACATGCCACCCACCCCTCCAACACTCACTGGCCTACACTCACTGGCCTCTCGCCCTGGGGAGCCTGGAGAACTGGGGGCAGAGTAGTGTTGTGGAAGTCACCTTGGGGTTCTGAGGCAGTGGGTTTGGGTTGCACCAAGACCTTGCTCTGTGACCTTGGGAAAGTCCCATCACACCTTCAGGCCTTGTTTTGCTCCTGTGTGAAAGGCAGACAGCAGCACCTTTGGCTCCAGGTTATGTGAGGATGAGATGAGATCATGTATATGAAGTTACAGGACCATGGGCAGAGGCTCAGTGTATGTGTAGGAGTGAAGAAAGAGGGGCTGGGCTCCTCTAACCTCCCCGTCGATGCCCCTGGCAGGCTTCTGAGATAGGAAGAGCTATGATTTTGTCCCTGGGAGACAATAAAATGTGGGCAGAGGAGGGAGAAAAGTCAGGAAGGGAGGCTGACCCCAGCGGCGCTAGTAGCTGCTCCTGGCCATGGACCATCTCAGGAGGTGAGGGTGAACCACTAAGAAAGAAAGGGGCTGTCACTGGTTTGCAGAGGTCAGCAAGAGGTTGGGAGGCAGAGGAGGTGCAAAGAGGGTACAGAAGTGAGCAGATGGGACTGTCAGACCCAGACTCCCTCTTTGGTAGATGCGACAGGGGTGGAGGCACCCTGCTGGCCAGTTCAAGTCACATTCTACCTCCAAGTATCCCAGTGACCTTGCGGGAGTCACCTCCTAACTACACTGTACGCCCTCACCCATCTCACTCAGGCTCCCCACCTGTAAAGCTGGCATCATAAATCAAGATGCTGGCATTGAACTGAGCCTTGATAAACAGAGGATGGGACAGGTCATCAGTAACTCTCCCGCCTCCTGGAGGACAGCACAAGTGGCTTCATGACCTTGGGAAAGTCACTCAAGCCTCATTTCTCAGCTATGAAATAGGGACAATGATGCCTTCCTTGTGAAGCTTCTGCGAGGATTAGCTGAGTCAACCGTTGCATTGTGCCCAGCATGGAGCTTGGTATGAGGCTCTCAACCACTGTTCATCTCCTCCGGGAACAGAAAAATGTGCTTCAAATAACACGGAACACTCTTCCACATTTATCCAGCTCTTCTTTAAGAAATTCTTACTTGTCTCCTATTTACTAACACTCACCCAGCATTTTATACCATAGAAGTTGTCTCCCATCCCCTTATCCAGATTATTTCTTTCAACAGCAAAGTAGACATTGTTAACACTACACCTGTTTTACAGATTGAAAACAGACTCAGAAAGGTCAATGGCTTACCTGAAGTCACACAACCTAGATTTGATTCCATGTCTTTCTGACATCAAAGTCCATGACTCCCAACCCACATACCCCTACCTCTTAAAACCCAGTTGACTCTTCAGTCACTCTTCAAGAATACCTCCTCCACCCCACAGGAGAGTGGGATGGGGCATAAAGTTAAGGAACCAGAAAGCTAGTGTTGTGTGGGAACAATTTCCTAGCCAGCTGGGTCCTATTTTTGGCTGAGGAAGAAGCTGGAACAAACCGAGGCCATGACCTTAAGATGCCCCCTGGACAGAGGAACTTGTGCACATCTCTCCATCAAAGCCCAGCACCTGCCATTTCTCTTGCCATGGGACAAAAGACCAGCCCAAGCCCCCTAATGCTAGGGTGAGTGAGGTCTTAGGGCAGCAAGAAGTTATGGCTGGGATAGGGCACAGGCATTGAAGTACCAGGTCAGACCTTGGTACAACCTTCCCTTCCTCCCCCTAAATCTCTCCCCACAATGGATCTGCTGTCAGGAGTAGGAACTGCAGGAGGCTTCAACACTGTCCAGGCAGGAGCCCTGGAAGGGAGGGGGAGGCGGAGGCAAGGCAGAGGTTGCGTCTTTTCTCAGCTCTCCTCGTTACCAGGAATTCACTCTGGGGCAGGGCTAACTCTGGGCTCTAGAAACTCTCTCTGGGCATCTGTGGGGAGGGGTGTGTGCACAGAGAACCCCCTCCCAAATTCCTAGTAGCTATTTTCTCTTCTGTGTCCTCCATCCTCTTCCCAGTGCAAGAGTAAATGCCATCCTGTGAGACCCAGTTCTCCTTGACAGCTCCTACCTCCCTAGGGGCATTTGGGCAGCCGGGAAAGGGGCCAGGCTGTCCCCTGGGCCAGCACCTCATGCTGGACAGAGGCCCAGCATCCAGGTGGGGGCCTGCTCCCTCCACCCGGGCCAGTGACCAGCATCTCCATGGGGTCCCTGCATCGGTCCTCCCTTCCCTGGGGAGCAGGTCCTTCTCCTCAGTGGGGCTGCAGTTGGGGGGCCTCTCTGGCACCCTCATGGACCAGGCCATGGTCATTTATGTCCAAGGGAGTCCTGCCCGTGACCCCAAAGAGTCCCCACTGTCTCCATCCCTCTCAGTGAAATGAATGTCCCTCATCTCTGCTCCCCGGGCGCCTGGCACCCCCGGACAGACACCCTCGCCGTCCCCCCATATTGCCCCTCTGCTCCGGGGAGCCTGCAGACCACGGGGGTACTGGGGAGGCCTGAGATTCCACCCAGCCCCAGCCCCTCTGGGAGATGCCCCCGCCCCACAGGCGCTCTCACCTCCCCGCTGACCGCCGCGATCTGCCGGGCGCTAGGGCCAGGCCCTCGGGTCCCGCTGGTCCGGGCTGCCGCCTCGCCTGGGCTGGGTTGGGCAGGGCAGCTCCGCGGCCCCCGCGGCCCCGCACCCTCCGCCTCCCCGCGGGAGCCGCCGCCGCTTGCTGAAATGCTGGACAGCGCACAGCCACCGAGGCGCCTCCCTGCCCGCTCGCCGGCCAGAGCGGCCAGGCCCCGCGCCCGCAGCGCCATCCGCAGGCCCGGAGGAACGCCAGCAGCGGAGGCAACGGCCCGGGAGGCTGGGACGGACCCTCCCCCCGCCCGCTCCCCCTCCCTCCCGCCCTCCTACTCCGCGTCCGCGTTGCCCCCCACCTCCCCGCTCCCCGCCCCAACCCCTGGCCTTCGGGGACATCTGTTTCCCCCACTTGCGAGAGTGGGCACGCCAGCCCTGGAAGGCGCCTGGGTCAAGGGAGGCTACTAGTTTGGGTCTGGGAAACGCATTCGGTGTGCAGAGGCCTCGCCAGGACACTGTCTTCCCACCCAGTGTTAAAGAAGGCACCAGGGGCTGGGCGAGGTGGCTCACGCCTATCCCAGCACTTTGGGAGGCTGAGGCAGGAGGATCACTTGAGGCCAGGAGTTCGAGACCAGCCTGGCCAACATGGGGAAACCTAGTCTCTACTAAAAATACAAAAATTAGCCAGGCGTGATGGCGGGCACCTGTAATCCCTACTACTCAGCTGCTTGGGAGGTTGAGGCAGGAGAATCGCTTGAACCTGGGAGGCGGAGGTTGCAGTGAGCCAAGATCGCACCATTGTACTCCAGACTGGGCGACAAGGACAAAACTTAGGGTCAAAAATAAAATAAAAGGCACCAGGGAGGTTGAGGTGGGAGGATTTCTGGAGCCCAGGAATTTGAGGCTGCAGTGACCTATGGTCATGCCACTGCACTCCAGCGTGAATGACAGAGGCTGTTATTTTTTGACACCATCTCAAAAGTTAAAAAAAAAAAAAAAAGGATGGGGTAGTGTGGGAGACATCACAATGGAGACAGGAGATTTCAAAAAAAATTTTTTTTTTTTTTTTAATTTTAAAATTTTGGCTGGGCCGGGCGCGGTGGCTCAAACCTGTAATCCCAGCACTTTGGGAGGCTGAGAGGGGTGGATCACGAGGTCAGGAGATCGAGACCATCCTGGCTAACATGGTGAAACCCTGTCTCTATTAAAAAATACAAAAAACGAGCCGGGCGAGGTGGGGGGCGCCTGTAGTCCCAGCTACTCGGGAGGCTGAGGCAGGAGAATGGGGTGAACCCAGGAGGCGGAGCTTGCAGTGAGCTGAGATCCGGCCACTGCACTCCAGCCTGGGCGACAGAGGGAGACTCCGTCTCAAAAAAAAAAAAAAAAAAAATTTTTTTTGACTGGATGCGGTGGCTCACACCTGTAATCCTAACACTTTAGGAGGCTGAAGTGGGAAATCACTGAGCTCAGGAGTTCGAGACCAGCCGGGCCAACATGAGGAAACTCTGTCTCCACAAAAAATACAAAAATTTGCCAGATGTAGTGGTATGCAGGCACTTGTAATCCCAGCTACTTGGGAGACTGAAGTGGGAGGATGGCTTGAGCCTGAGAAGCAAAGGTTGCAGTGAGCCAAGATTGCTCCATTGCACTCCAGCCTGAGCAACAGAGCCACATTTTGTCTCAAAAAAAAAAAAAAAAAGCAAAAAAAACTTTAAATTTTTGATAGAGATAGGGTTTCACTGTGTTGCCCAGGCTGTCCTTGAACTCCTGACCTCAAGCAGTCCTGCCTTGGCCTCCCAAAGTATTGGGATTACAGGCATGAGCTGCTGCTATGCCAGACTTTTTTAAAATTTTTATTATTATTTTTATTTTTATTTTTTGAGACAGGGTCTCGCTCTGCTGCCCAGGCTGGACTGCAGTGGTGTGATCATATCTTATTGCAACCTCAAACTCCTGGGCTCAAGCCATCCTCCTTCCTCAGCTTCTCAGAGTGCTGAGATTACGAGCATGAACCACTGTGCCTGGCCAGGGGGAGAGCATATTGAGAATGGAAATACCGAGCCTTCGATGTTGCTGGGTTGGGAGTCTGGGGTCCACAGTTTAAGTCGCCATTGGGTTACTCTCTGTGTGACCTTGGTCTGTTTCTCCCACAGCTCCTGGCCCTCTTTCAGTGAGCAGGCTGAGTGAAGGAAATTCAGAGTTGGAGACCGTTGGGAGACAAGAGACCTTCCCTAAATAGAGACGTTAGGAGACCAGAGACCTTCCCTTAATGGAGACGTTATAAATCAGGAACATGAGCCGGGGGCGGTGGCTCAAGCCTGTAATCCCAGCACTTTGGGAGGCCGAGACGGGTGGATCACGAGGTCAGGAGATCGAGATCATCCTGGCTAACACGGTGAAACTCCGTCTCTACTAAAAAAAAAACTACAAAAAACTAGCCGGGCGAGGTGGCGGGCGCCTGTAGTCCCAGCTACTTGGGAGGCTGAGGCAGGAGAATGGCGTAAACGCAGGAGGCGGAGCTTGCAGGGAGCTGAGATCCGGCCACTGCACTCCAGCCTGGGTGACAGAGCGAGACTCCGTCTCAAAAAAAAAAAAAGAAATCAGGAACATGGAGTCCCCTGTTTCAAGCTCACCATTGGCGTCCCCATGGCTGTGTCAGGGGGCAGGACTGGAAGTGCCACAGCAGCCCTGACTTGGGGGGACGATGGTAAGGCACATCAGGTGCTTGGGGTGCAGATTTTAGGAAGCATTTGCATGACAACAAGAGGCATCCCTGGGTCTGAGTGTATGTTTGTTGTGAGTCTGTGAGTGGGTTTATGTGTGCATGTGCCCCGTGTATCTGTGTCTGTGCATCTGTTTTTAGTTTTTTGAGATGGAGTTTCACTCTTGTCACCCAGGCTGGAGTGCAATGGTGTGATCTCTGCTCACTACAAACTCCACCTCCTGGGTTCAAGCAATTCTGCCACAGCCTCCAGGGTAGCTGAGATTACAAGTGCCCGCCACCACTCCTGGCTAATTTTTTTTTTTTTTTTAAGTAGAGACGGGTGTTTCACCATGTTGGCCAGGCTGGTTCCACCTGCCTCGGCCTCCCAAAGTGCTGTGATTACAGGCGGGAGCCACCGCACCCGGCCTGTGCATCTGTTTTTGGATTCATGTCTTTCTGGAGTGTCTGTATGTGCCCTCCTGTAACTGTCCCATGGGTTCTTCCGCTGTCCAGATAGAGCCAATTTATCAAGACGGGAACTGCAATATACAAGGAGTTTAATACACATAGAGCCAACTAAATGGGAGACCAGAGTTTTATTATTACTCAAATCAGCCTGTCCAAAAATTCAGAGGCTAGAGTTTTTCAGGGATAGTTTGGTGGGTTGGTGGCGGGGGGCGGGGGGGCGGCAAGGGAATGGGAGCTGCTGATTGGTTGGGGATACATTCCCACGGGTGTGGAAAATGGTCCTCTTGCATTGAGTTCGCTTCTGGGTAGGGACACAGAGGAGTTGCTTGTCTGAGTGGAATAATCCGACAGGAATGCAAAAGCCTGGTCAGGCACGGTGGCTCAGGCCTGTAATCCCAGCACTTTGGGAGGCTGAGGTAGATGGATCACCTGAGGTCAGGAGTTTGAGACCAGCCTGGCCAGCATGGCAAAACCCTGTCTCTAAGGCCTTCTTTTTTTTTTTTTTTTTTTTTTAGTAGATACGGGCATTTCCCCATGTTGGTCAGGCTGGTTTCGACCTTCTGACCTAAGGGGATCTGCCTGCCTCAGCCTCCCAAAGTGCTGGGACTACAGGCATGAGCCACCATGCCTGGCCCTCTCTTACAATTTTTGCAAAGGCGGTTTCACTCCTCCCCTCTTCATTTGCCCAGGTTTCCTTACCTACCAGAATCTTTGGAGTGAGTGTGTGTGTGTGTGTGTGTTTAAGATCCTTGAACTGCAGGCCCTTGCACTATTTGCAGAACAAAGATTGAGGGTGAGGGAGAGGGGTGGGCTACAGCTGCCGCCACCAGTACTGCAGCTCCACAGCCCTGGGGTGCTAGTCCTCTGCTGATGTCCTGCCTTCTGGCTGCATGAATATTTCATTTGCTGGGACTTTGGGCTGGCCTAGCACCAGTCAGCTTGGTTGCTCCTTCTTCCTGAGAGGAGCTGCCCCCTCTGTGCCTGGCGGTGACTTCCTAGGTAGGTCAATGTCTGGGAGAGGGTTCTGGGAGTGGGGGGTTGGGGCCGGCGGCTGCAGGCCTTTCCTTGTCTAAAGAGCCATGGCTGGGTGTGTGGAGAGGAGTGGAGGAAACTCACAAGAGGTGTGGAGATGCGGCATCATCTCAGAATGAAATGCATGCCTTAAATGAAGCTGGGTTTTTTTTTTTTTTTTAGGTGGAGTATCACTCTGTCGCCCAGGCTGGAGTGCAGTGGTGCGATCTCAGTTCACTGCAACCTCTACTTCCCAGGTTCAAGCAATTCTCCTATCTTAGCCTCCCGAGTAACTGGGACTACAGATGCATGTCACCATGCCCAGCTAATTTTTGTATTTTTAGTAGAGATGGGGTTTTACTATCTTGGCTGGGCTGGTCTCGAACTCCTGACCTCAGGCGATCTGCCCACCTTGGCCTCCCAAAGTGCTGGGGTTACAAGCATGAGCCACCAAGCCCAGTCAAAGTTGGCTTTATGAAACCTCACCATATTGCTTTGGTTCCTGACCAGCCCTGGCCTCAACTCTGGAATTAGCACCTGGGAACACTGCCCAAGCTGGGCACACCTCCTCCTGCCCTCCCCTTGTCTGTCTCTGCGGCCCCTGCCTCCCTGATTTCACGAGGGGAGCAGCTTCAGGGAAGAAGGGGGTTTGGGCCTATAAAAGTTGACTGCCACCAGATGTGGTGGCTCACACCTGTAATCGCAGCACTTTGGGAGGTCGAGGCAGGCAGGTTACTTGAGGCCAGAAGTTCAAGACCAGCCTGGCCAACATGGTGAAACCCTGTCTGTACTAAACATACAAAAATTAGCCGGATGTGGTGGCGGGCGCCTGTAGTCCCAGCTACTCGGGAGGCTGAGGTGGGAGGATTGTTTAAACCAGGGAGGTGGAGGTTGCAGTGAGCTGACATTATACCACCACACTTTAGCCTGGTTGACAGAGTGAAACTCCATCTTAAAAAAAAAAAAATAAAAAGCTGGCT